AGAAGAAACTCAAGCTCTTTGTTTCTGATGTTGTTCAAAGGAACCATGTGGAGTTTTTAAAAGACATGTTGCTTTGTGAAAATGTCCTCCTTGCATCAGAACTCGTAATGGGTTTTCGTAAGGAAGGTCCCATCACTCGTGGATGCCTAAAGATTGGCATTACTAAGGTCTTTGAAAATCTTCATTGGACCTTCATTCTTAATGCGCTGAGATCCCTTGATATCCCCGAGGATTTTCTCAATTGGATCAAGGAATGCATTGCTACTCCCTCCTTTAGCGTGGCCTTCAACGGGGAGCTTGTTGGCTGCTTTGCAGGGAAAAAAGGGTTTCGACAAGGTGACTCCATTTCTTCATTACTATTCATCCTAGCCATGGACACGTTATCTAAAAAACTCGATGCTGGAGCAATTGATGGGAAATTTGGCATGCATCCAAAATGTTATGCTCCTCTTATAACTCACATGAGTTTCGCCGATGATGATTTAATCTTCTTTGATGGGTCTGAATCCTCTCTTGTGGGAATCCTCTGGTTTATGCATCAATCTGAGGAAGTGTGAAGTGTTCTTTGATGGAAGTCACTCACACCACTCACGTGACGTAGCAGTTAGACTTCGGCTAAAGCAAGACTCCTTACCAGTGAGGTATTTGAGAGTTCCTTTAACAACTCGAAAGCTGCGGAAGGAAGATTATCAGCCCCTGCTAGATAATCTCTTAGCACGGTTTACATCTTGGACCGTGCAACACATATCCTTCGCGGGTAGACTAGAGCTCTTGAAATCTGTGATATACTCTGTCATTCTGGGCAACCATCTTTATTCTGCCTAACCAATGCCTCAAGAAGTTGGAGCAAATGTGCAATTCCTTCTTGTGGAAAGGAACTCCTGGTGACGCTAGGGGAAAAAAATTAGGTTGGGAATCAGTATGCACTCTTAAGATTAGTGGAGGACTAGGTCTTTGGAGGCTTAAACCTTGGAATCAAGTGCTTAGTTTAAAACTGACCTGCCTTCTTTTTACGGCCTCCGGATCTCTTTGGGTTTCTTAGACCATGTTGCATTTGCTTGGATCAGAAAATTTTTGGACCTTGGCCTCTACAAACTCAGGCAGTTGGATCTGGAAACAACTCTGCAAACTGCGCCCTTTGGCTCGTAGGTTTGTGTATTGTCAGCTTGGCTTATGAATTACAATAAGCTTTTGGCATGATAACTGGACTGGAAATGACGCCTTCTATGACCATACTGGTCCTCTGGAGCCGCTAATTTCAGGTTTAGACTTTAATGCTACAGTTGCTGATGGTATTATTGATGGAAACTGGTGGCTGCATCGGTCTCGAAGCAGAAATCCAGTGCTTACCATTCTCCGAGAATCCATACCTCCGTTGGATCCCATTATTCACTCAGAAGTTGATGACATATACCTCTGGAAAATTGGAACCAATGCACCTTGTTCATCCTTTAAAACATACGCCACTTGGGTCTCAGCTTTTCCACTTCCACCAATTGTTCAATGGCACAAATCTATTTGGTTCTATGGTTCCATACCAAAACACGCCTTCATGACATGGCTGATTACCCTCAATAGGCTTCCAACACGTGATAGGCTATGAGAATGGGGTCTTGATGCCCCTCCTCCTGCCTCCTTTGCTCTTTGTCGGATGAAAACCGACAACATCTGTTCTTCGATTGTGAATACTCAAAAGAGGTATGGTCTTTCTTCTCCTCCAAAGCCCATCTCACTCATTCTCCTTCATTTTTGGATTGCTTGAGATGGATGAAAGACCTTACTAGAAACAGAAATGTCAACCTCATTATGAAGCTGACCTTTCAAGGCTCTTGTTACGCTTTTTGGAAAGAGCGCAATAGCCCATTGCACTCTGCAATCCCGCGCTCGGCTCACTCTCTAATCGCTTACATTAGATTAACCACTAGAAGTAAATTGGATTCACTGTCCAGGTCTCAACGAAACCTTCCAACCTCTATCTCTTTTTTGTCTACTTGGTTTGAAGTGTTCCATTAGCTTTTCTGATTGGATTTTTGTTTTTTTGTTCTTTATCCTGATATTGTTTGATCAGTTGATCTTGTGCTATAAGCCTATTTGGTTAAAGTTTATATATATTAATGAAAATTTAAAGTAAAAAAAAAATATATTTTATTAATATATTAAGTCAAATTTTGTTTTGTTCATCTTACCGACGTTTTTTGCTATTGTTCTGTTACTATTAAAAGTTATAACCAGACAAAAAATTGTTTGGCTCAGAGCATTTTAATATACAACTAGATGATTACCCGTGCCCTGCACGGGATGAGCTAAAAAAAATATTTACTGATTATAAATAATACATTTTCTGAAAAGTAAGTATCTTATTTTTTATTTTCATATCTGATGCTAACCAATTTTTTTTTAAAAATTAATATTGCTTCGTGATGTTTTTGTGTAGGTTGTCCAATCATTTTTGTATTTGACCCATTTTGTAGATGGTTAACAATTGTGATAGGTCCAAACTGAAATTGGATGGGATGTACTAAACACACTCTCTCTGTTTCAGATAGTCAATTGAGAGATCAAATCACACTCACTCTCTCAGTTACACGACGAAAAAGGGGATTAGGGTTATCAAATTTTTTTGGGCAATTCATGTTCTCGCCAGGTGATTTCAATAGTTTCTCAAGTCAATTTCCTTTTCGATCTCTTATCAGATTTACAAAAATCTTCTGGCACATCTAATTTCTCCTCTGTTATATAATTTCTTGTATGACCATTCACAACGGCGAGATTCGATTGACTGCAATAAAAACTGTGGTTCAAATGTTATGTATATATAAGAACAACTTTTAACTAAAAATCTTGATATTTATTAAGATGATGAACATCAAGAACGAATTTTAACTTTAAAACTTGATATTTTATTAAGATGACGAATAAGAAAACTTAGAATAAATAGTTCTGTAGAAGAATCTGATATGTAAAGAGCAAGTGAGGTTTTAGTTCTCTTTCCAAAACTTTACAAAATCAGAAATATATTTTTAGTTAGAATGGGAAAGGGTTTATATAATCTTTCTTTATTAAAGCTTTATGTTTAATAGAATTGATTTCGTGTGATATACTGGTGTCAGGATCAAATATTTGTTGAGTGCATCCTATCAATATTAGGATTATTCAAAAAAAGAATAAAAACCATAAGCAATCGTATAATTTAAGCTTCATCTCATGCAGTGTAATAGTTCGGGTTGAATTAAAAACAACCCTAAATACAAAGTTCGAATACTTATCATTGGATCATGATTAGGATTGAACGCATATATCAAATCTTGGTTGGTGATCATCTTCAAGACTTTGTTAGTGTCATGGTTGTAAACCAGACAAAGCTCTTGGTAGATCCTCACCATTAGAATGGTTCATAGTCTATAGATTTTCTTTTAAAACAAAGATGCAAAGTATGAGTTGTGGCATTCAGATACGCTATATTTATAGTGAAATCACTTTCTAGGTATACCGACATTTTTAAGTTAACCCATTTATTTAGAAAATATATACAAATCTACAATTGAATATTCGGTAGATCAATTATGATAAATATCGTTTAATGGTAATCTAATTTTTAACTAACTATGGAAATATACATTTGCATTTATGAATAATAAAGCCCACAAAACTTGTGTTTGAAGCTAGCATCTATTATAATCTAATTGCAAGTCAATGGAAAGGAAAAAATATGTATCACGTAAAAGTTGTACAATCACCACGTTTGGAAAGTCTAACTTTTGCAATCTCTATAATTTAATGCACCTTATAAGAAAGATGTAATATTTTTGACAGTTTATATGTTCATTCAGAGATTTAACAACTTGAAGAAACCTACAGTCGATCTTTTGGATTTGAGAATTATATAAGATATAGATTTAGATATAATTCATGGTAAGTTAATCACAAATTCGAAGAACACTACAGACGATAGTATCAGTTCATATGATAACCGGATGATCCACTTGTTAAAGCTAATAACCAATGAACCAATTAGGTTCAAATGCAAGAAGTACATATTGGATCACAAAAACTACTTTTATATGAATTTACCCAATCTCTATCACTCTAATTGGACTCCATCATTATACATTATTAAACCTTTAGTTACATCACTTTTTATTAAAAAATTTTTGGTGAAAGATCACTTGAAATTTTACTTATATATCACAATATCAATTTGCAAGTTTATGTGATTCACTGTATTAGTCATAACAGATTTGTTGATTGTTATTTCACTGTCTTTTGATCCGTGATGTGTATTTTTTGGCCAGATACTCGGAAGAACAGGGACCAAAGTACTTGGTCTCATCTATTGTAACGCTGTTTGGAACAAAAAAAAAAGTTTAATGTAAGTAAATGGATTTATTATATAGTTTAGTGTTACAAATGTAATCCTAGATTAATACTACGATACGTATGTCTAATCGGTTTAAATACCAAATGTTCTTTGAAGTTTTGTTATTAATAAACCGGTGAGCACCCATACCATATTATGTCTCGACTTACATATATGTTAAAGGTCCACAATAGTATTTATGTAATTTCTCTAGTAATGTCGGTCCATTCAAATAAATGATGTGATGAGGAGAGCTGTGGTGTTGACACCTCAGCATTAAAACTTAAGTGACAACATAAAAATGTTTCTCTTTTAATATATAGGGGATTATACAACTTACAGATTTATTTTTTGCAATTGTTCTGTTACTTTTGAAAGGTTTAACCAGAAAAAAATTGTTTGGTTCAGAGAATATTAATATACACTTATATAGAACATTTTTGGTAGATATAGAACCTTTTTCTGTTGCTCTAAGTAAAAGCTTCTCCACTTTTTGTGTGTGTGTGCCTGATATCAACTTTCGGCCTGCTGCTACTAAAATAAGATTCTCCTCAAAAAACAGGCTTTATGGATTAAGCTTCATTAGAATATGAGATCAAAACACAGCCCAATTTTTACTAGCACGAATCGGGTCGACCCGACCTGAATACTCTATTTAGTAGATTGTCATTTTGCTGCCAAGTGACTTGATAAGAATCGAATTTTATGTGCTCCTCCTGCAATATACAATCTACTAATAATCGAGGAATCGGTGTTTTAATGAGAAAAGAAACATTTCTTGATTCCAAGTGTACTTTACAAATAATACTACAAAAACATCAAATCTCTATTCTATCAAGATTTTTATAAAGAACAAACAGTGTCTTCTTCTTGTTCTTCCCTCCTTTTCTTGAGAGAATTCGTTAATTTAATAGCCAGGGATTTCACCTGGAACTGGAGCCAACTCGTTCTTGCTGAATTTAACTTCATCATAGAATGTTGCACGTACCGTCCTTCCTCCAAAGAATCTACCATCGAGGTCTACAAGGGCTTTAGTTGTTTCCTCGGGTCTTGAAAACTGAACAAAGATTCTTACTGCTTCGTGTGTAGGGAAGTTGGCTTCAGTGATCTCGAATATGAGTACACGAGTCACAGTTCCGTATTTGCCACACTCCGATCCCACCTCCTCTTCGAGCTCATCATCTACTTCTCCTGGTCCAACCTTTTTAAGGCACAGAGAAAAACGGGTGATGGATGGGTCAATTGAAAAAAGCAGACAGCAAACACAACATAAAGAAAAGAAAGATAAAATCTCTGAAAAAAAAAACTTGTTCTTATGTGAACAATAAGAAGAGTGATACGAAAGTTCACAACAATCCATGTGAAGATGCATTCACAGAGTAGACAAATAAGAAAAAGATGTGACAATTTTTACAGTATCCTAAAACCACTAAAATTTCTTTCAAACACATGCTAACTCTCACTTCATTCGTTAACTCTCCCAGTATTTGGCAATCAATGCCCGAGGGATCAAGTTGTAACTACCTAGGGGAAGATATTATAACTAACTTAAGCATCTGAAGTGTTGTGTCCAATGAATTGGCAATCTAAATTCTGTAGCAACCCCCACCAGTTCACAAGGCTAAACATTAGCATAAGTAAACTATGAGCTATAAGCTCCACCAAACATCTTGTTAAAATGCCAAAGTTTATTTCATCTCAAGGTAGTTAAAAGAATCAAAGTATCACGAAAGCAGCCATTAATCAGTTCCATTTTCACTCATCAGTTTCCTCGATTCAATCCCCGACAAATCAAGCAAAGGTTTGTTTCTTTTCGATCTAACATGCTTCCAATAAATTGTTTGAAGTAGCAGTATCTAATAAAAAAAACACATCAAATGCTAACAGGTTATCGTTGTAAACCTAGCAGACCCTTGTAATTCAATCTAGGAAAGTGTTTCCTAATACAAGATCAAATGTCAGAATCAAGAATCAATTCTAAACTGTCAAGAATGCATATATATAGAGAGAGAGAAGGTCTGAAAAAGACAAACCATGTTTCTGAGAAGTAACACTCTGGTTGGTTCTCCAGTGATATTAACACTCTTGACAATCTTCTTCTTCTCACTAGCATTCACAATGACGCCAGCTCTACGATCAGTCTTCTTAGCCATCAAGGGGGTGGTGATCCCTTGCTCAGACTTGCCAAGCCCTTGCCCTTGTTTCCACCCCATCTTCGCCATCATCCTCTCCGCTGCCGTCATCTGCCCGCCCGTCTCAGGCGGAGGAGAAGGGGATCTTCGGCTGCTTCCACCACCACCACCACTCATGGCGGCGCGTCTCTTCCACGCTTCCTCGCCGGAGATATTGAGTGGAGCCTGATCGCGCTCTCTTTCTCTTTCTATTTCTCTTTCCTTCTCCTCCTCGAGACGTCTCTTGTCAAGCTCACGCTTCATCTCAGCTTCCATGGCTTTCCTCTTCTTCTCCCTCCTGTACTCCTCGTAATCGTTGGGTCTCGCAGGATCGTACTCTTCGATCACAGATGAAGTCACACCAACCAACGCCGGTTGCGATTGTGCCGCAGAAAGCATCGATTGGGAGGAGGAAGGAGGAGGAGGAGGGGGAGGCTTGTGTATAGCTTTGGGCTTGTTCTGAGGTCTGAGGATTGTTTGAGTGGGAGCGAAAGCGGGGGGTTTGCGAAGGGTAGGTGGAGCCATCTTAGTACTGCTGGACCAGACGGAGGAGGAGGAGGAGGAGTTTCCGCTTGCTTTGTCTTCATCTGACGGCGGAGGAAGATCTCCGTACAATCCACCCAGCATTTTTTAAGTGATCTCCTCGCCTCGTTAGCTCAGGGTCAGGGTTGCTTTCAATTCCTCAATTTAGGGTTTTTTTCAATTTTCCCATCTGCCTTTTCTGATTACTTTTAATAACAAGACCAAATAAAATTAAGAAAGTATAATACATAGTCCTTATCTATTCACAAATATCTGTTTTTTTAATTTTTTTTATTTAATCAGTTTGGTTTCACAGATTTATAATATCTTGTGTTTTCTTTTAACAAACAAATAATAAAAAACACAGAGCGAGAGAAAGAAACCCTAGTAGCCGTCACTTTGGTCTGGCGTGTGACGCTGTGTAGCCGTCGGACCCCCCTCCTTTTCCTTTCAGTTTTTTCCTTTGCCTCTGACATACTCTTTCCTCTCTTCGATATGTATTTGGTCTCTGGTCTCTCCGGTTCTTCCGTCCTCAGATCTGGCGTTTAGAGGCACGATTTAAGTGGATTCCGGGTGTTTGGAGTCAGAACGAGTTGAGTTGGCTGGTGGTTCCTGTCAGTGGTCGGCTTTTAGGGTCGGATCTAGGGCGGAGTTTTTTCCTTGTCATCCCGTCTAGATTCCGAAAAAGACAGATCTGTAGTTGTTTCCCTGAGATTCATGTTCTATTGTAGGTTGTGAAATTTTTGACGGATCTATCTTTCACCCGACTTTCTTCATTCCGGGCTAATAAGCTTTCCCTTCTGGAGGTGAGGCATTCCCGTCCCGGCGGTGTTTTGTTGGTTGCAAGCCTCTGAACCTGATGGTGGAAGAGTCCTTGGAGGCAGTTTAAGCACCATGCTTGGTGGGGAACCTTCTTCTATGTTGAAACTGAACTGATGTACAAGGTTCATACACATCCCTTTCAGTGAAGGGGCGATGCATACCACGTTTTAGGTTGGGGACTTTGACTACTTCTGTAACGGGCCTGAGTGGGGACTATGCACTTCGGTGTTGAGTCCGGGATCCACGTTGTTCACTCTAATCAAATGGCGACCCCTGACTATGATTTATAGTTGGTTTGCCTTTATTTAGGCCTTTGTTTTATGGGTTAGTTGAGTTCCTGTATTAGTGTGGCAGTAGGTTCAAGACTATGCGAGCTGGTGGCATTGGGCTGATTGGGAAGTTACGCCTTTGGTGTGGATACTGGTAGCACAAGTACATCAAGACTATCTTACGGATGCTACTAGTTTGGTTTAGAATTGGAATCCTAATTGTCTTAGTGTCACTTAGTCCCGATCAGTCTTGTTTTTTGGTTCAATTGTAGTGGTCTAAGGGGTGGTTTGCTTTGAGTTTTGGAGCTTTCTCACCCCATTGTGGTTTAAAATACATCACTGTACTCTAGGTTGCGCTGGATCCGAGTGAGAAATCACCTTAGTGAGTGTTCCAGGGTGTTACTAAGATGCATTATTTGTATTAGTGGTTGAATCTTATTGTGGTCAAATTCACTGTATCACTATTTGGTTAATGAAAAGTTGAAGTTGAGTCAAAAAAAAAATCTTGTGTTTTTGGTATTCTAACCGTAGAAGAATCGACTTGAAGATATACTTGTGCTCGAACACTTTTCGATCTATTCGTCTCTCTCTTGTTGCAGATTGCGATTCCACCACACTCGAGAAAGTTGCAATTAAGAAAAGAAAGTAAAGAATGACACAAGCAAAGTTTTAGAGTTTCCCTCTTCAACCCGGGTATATCTCCTTCAGGACGGTACCTGGTAATTCACTATATCTTTCAGGTTACAAAGCTTTACAAGTTTAGCTATGGCGATTTTCGCCTTCTCTCTCTCTCTCTCTCAAACAAATCGAAGAGGATAGAGTTTGTTATGGCCGTTAGGATGGATCAAATTCTCTGCTCCTTACTCCATCTTATAAAGCTGTTCCTGATGGGCTTTTATTCTAGGGAAGTTTATTCAAATAGTACATATTTTACGACAAATAACTAGAACCATACAAATCTTTTTTTTTATTACTGTCATTTTTTAAATACCAAGTGTGCCCTTTTATTATGTTATGAGAAAAAATGTATTTACAAAAATGCCATTACTTTTTAATGCCATGTAAGCAAAAATCCGGCGCCACGTAAGATATCGCTGCCGTGTTTTCATTAAGTCAGTCGTAAAGCGCTATTGATGTCGTTACGGCTGGGTTATTATTACGTTGTGGCTGAGTTAAACAACGCGGCTGACTTGAGAGAAATTGACTGACTTAGGAATATAAGCCAGCCGTTAGTGATCGCTGACTTACAGAAATATGGCTGATTTATGAGATAACGGCTGACTTACGTACATAAGTTACAGCTGACTTATACATCAGCGATGTGATTTCTGGAAAATTCGGCTGAGTTGTAATTAAGACATGGCTGAGTTATGTTTCGCCAGCTGGGTTAATGAACATCGTCTGGCTGAGTTATTAAATTTACGGCTGACTTATGAGAGGTTGTTACGGCTGAGTTATATTTGATCAGCTGTAACTGGTTGGATTAACAGTAAACTCAACTTAATTACGGCTGACTTTTTAGCGAAAGATTAATTACTAGAATATCATTTGTTTGACGGCTGATTTATTTGACGATACGACTGACTTATAATTTTCCATCCTAATTATGGCTGATTTATTAGTAAAAGATTAATTACTGAAATAAGATTCATGTTTCAACTGGTTTATGTTGTACTTGATGGCTGGTTTATTTAGGCTTAGTTATGTGTTCGTTTGGTGACTGACTTACCGATTTTCCATGTCATCAACTTTTACTAACCATGTCATTACAAACGTTGAAAAGATAAAACAATGATTTATGTTAGAGACGCATAGTCTTATTCTTCATTCTTCATCTTCTTTATCTATCTTCTTCATCTTATTCTTCATCTTTCTCCTAGATCTTATGGATCTGGTAATTATTTTTTCGGCAACTGAGTCTAAAAATCATAGATTTAAAAAATTAAAAATCTGAGACAGATTTACTGCAATCGTAGTCTTCGATGATGGTCGGTTGAGAAGAAGCTTCCTCTTCTCCAGTGTCATGTATGGTGGTATGACATCGTGTTGCTCCCTCTCCCATCAAATTCGCAGTCTTGCAGAAGAATAAATAGTCAAAGAGAGAAATGAAAAAGCTAAATTCCATAAACTGTAAGAAAAAAAGAAGAAGAAGATGATGAATTTGAAAGCTAATATTATATAATGACTCTGCATCATCTGAATATGAGGTTCAAACTTAAGAAGAGATTAAAGTTTTAATATGGTGTTCATGGTTGACTTAATGATTTATTCTCGCCCAAAATACGAAACGTCGTGAAACAAATTACACTTGAAGGCTGACTTATAGGAACGTTACAGCTGACTTATACCATTCATATACGTTACGGCTGAGTTATGCATACGTTAGGTCTGAGTTATGCATACTTTATGGATGAGTTATGCATACTTTACGGCTGAGTTATGCATATGTTACGGCTGAGTTATAACTCATCAAACTGCAGCAGAGTTATGCATACGTTATGGCTGAGTTATGCATACTTTACGGCTGATTTATGCATACTTTACAACTGAGTTATGCATACGTTATGGCTGAGTTATGCATACTTTACGGCTGAGTTATGCATATCTTATGGCTGAGTTATGCATACTTTACGACTGAGTTATGCATACGTTACGGCTGAGTTATAACTCATCAAATTGCAGCTGAGTTAAGCATACATTGGGGCTGAGTTATGCATACTGTACGGCTGAGTTATGCCTACGTTACAGCTAAGTTATAATCAAATTATGGCTGAGTTTTGTTATAATCAATAGCGAGTTATGGTTACAATACAACTTTTTTATAACCAAGTCGACCAAAAAAGCTTCTGACAAGTTCAAGATTCATCATCCAAACTTAAATTGAAGTTAGAAACCAAAAGAGAAACTAAAATATGAGTCTATAGATTAGGAATCAAGAGACATATGCATAAACAACATAGATCTAGAAAAATAAAATAAAAATTGGAGACAGATCTATTGTAGTCGTCGCCATCTTCGATGGTGGTTGGTTAGAGAAAAAGTTTTCTTTCCTCCAATATCTGTATGGTGATCTGACATCCTGATGTTCCTTCTTGTATGGTGATTCGACATCCTGATGCTCCCTCTCTCATCGAATTCGTGGTCTTTCAGAAGAAAAAAAATAGTCAAAGAGAGTGATGAAACGGTTAAGTCCCGTCAATTATAAGAAAATGAGAGAATGATTTTTGACCTTTAGATTTCATTTAATCAATGGCCATAAATTGTGATCCTTGAAAAAGAAAGATTAACCAATGATAAAGAAGGGTGAGGATAGAGAAAATGATAATTTTGAACCATTAGATTAAAATCAATCAAGGGTCATGGTTGCGTAATGGTCCCGCCCACCCCAGTGTTTCGCAAGTATTTAGTTCCCGCCCAAAAATACCAAACGTCGCGATTAAGTTACACTTTGCGGCTGAGTTATTGACATGTTACGGTTGAGTTATGTTTAGGATAAATTTATGTTTTAGGGTTTAGGGTAAATTATTTGGGGTTTAGTGTTTAAGATTTATGTTTTATGGTTTAGTTACCATTATAAAATATAAAAAATTACAACAATTCGGTTGAACAAAAAAATTATATGGTATACTTTGTATTTGGTGCATTAAACACTTATATAGACACATAAGGTTTTAAGTATTTGTAAGACAACATATACCTCAAGATCATGATCAATTCAAAACTTGTAAATTCAATGAAATATACACTCTGTTGATTATATATTCATCTAAAATTGATAATATTAATTTCTAGTAACATATTAAAGTACATTTTTTAATATTAGGGTATGTTTGTGGTTTGCCTGAGTTATATGAAGCGTTACGGCTGGCTTATAGAACCGATACGGCTGGGTTATATTAATTGTTTTTTTTTGATTTTAGGGTGTGTTTGTGGTATGGCTGAGTTATATGAAGCATTATGGCTGGCTTATAGAAACGATAAGGCTGAGTTTTATTAAACTTTTTTGATATTAGGATATATTTGTGGTATGGCTGAGTTATATAAAGAGATACGGCTAGCTTATAGAAACGATACGGCTGATACATCCCATTTCTTT